CCCCCTCGCGGGATGGATTGACTAGTTCCACCGAGAAGGTCCTTTGTAACGCAAAACCGCGAATGAAATTGATTAACCAGCGAATTGAATGACCCTTTCATCACTTTGACGGAAAAAATCGCGAATTAATTAATTAAACCGCGAATTAAACTGCAACCACGCGAATTAAATCGCGAATTAAACCGTGACCGCGCAAATTAATTAACCCTTTCATCACTTCGAGGGAAAAATCGCGAATTAATTAATCAAACCGCAAATTAAGCCGTGAATTAATTAACCCTTTCGCCACTTCGAGGGAAAAACCGCGAATTCATTAATCAAACCGCGGATCAAACCGCGAATTAATTAACCCTTTCGTCACTTCGAGGGAAAAACCGCGAATTAATTAATCAAACCGCGAATCAAACCGCAAATTAAACCGCGACCCTGCGAATCAAACCGCGAATTGAACCGCGACCCCGCGAATTAATCAACCACCCACCCACCCACTTTCATGACCCCCCTACTGGGCCCCAACGACCAGGTCGACGCCAAAAACGTTCTGCCAGAACCGGCATTACTACACTACTGACACCCCAACTAAAGAGGGGACGGAATTCTTGTGGTTCAAGGATATTGTTGGATAGGATTTTGGAGTAGGTGGGAGTGCAACCGGGATGATTCTCGATATGAGTTTACGAGAAAAATGGACTGAGAAAATGATCGAGACCGAGAATTAAACCCCGGAGCTTCTGATTACGCATCGGGTGTTCTGTCCGACTGAGGAATATGGTTGCATCAGATTCTATCTCAGCAGCCCCAATCCTCCGTTTCCATTGTTCAAATAAAAAATGCAATACAGTCCGCTGCAACAGTCGTGCATATCGTTTGTCAGTTGCAGTCTCATCATAATCGCGACAAAACGATCGAATTGTTTTACTCTTCGGCGAATTGATGAGATTATTCTTGTACAATACTGTTGATATTTAATTCAGGTCAATAATTATAAAATTGATTTGCGATATCCTCTTGATCTCTTATAAATTAAAAGCAAAAAATGGACTTTACGAGGAGTCTTTGGCTCCAGAACTGCAGATCTGGACGTCGTGGGATGTGTTGTGCTGTTGTATTACTAGGTATTATTGTAGGATCTGCACTACTGGTATATAGCGTATCCGCGCCAAAGAAGGATCACCGGTCTATTAAGCAGATTGCAATTGTAAGTGACCTTACATTGAAATTTAAACAACTTTTCAAACAATTAATAGTTGAATGATGTTCTTTATTCACTCAGTGCGCATATAATATCATTTTCATTAGAACACTAACGTACTAGTTGAAAGGCAATGGAACATATCATCGGAGTAGAAACTGGATGTCAAGTTTATTCGTCGTCAGACGACTATTCAGCGAACCCCCAATTCTTGCACTATAGATATCAAGATTATTGATCATGTAAGAATTTGGGTTTTGTAAAATAGTCGTCTGACGACGAAAAAGCCTGCAATCCAGTTTCTACTCCGGTGGTAAGTTATGGGCCCAGCACGTCGGAGTTGAGTCGAATTGAAGGCTCACCAAGCGCTCCTATTGCCGGCCAGGGTACTAATCGAGACCTCGATGCGCGTGCGTCAACGTTCTCGTGAAATTGTGGGGATGGTAATTTTACCCTTCTTCCATAACTACAAAGTAATTTTGGGAGTATGTATGAATTAGCCTTGATTTATTTTATTTGTTTTCTGAAGAAGGAACCCGCAAACACAATGGTACAATGTGTCTTTTGCCGAAACAGAAACAGAAAGTGCAAAGACTTATCATTTTCACGAGTAAGTGTACCTTGTTATATTAAAGGTATATACTTGAGATCGTTAGGAAGTCAACCCCAAGGGAACTTCAACTGATAAAATGCGTAGCATATTCAAATTTTCACTTGTAATACCACAAGAGCTTCAAAATTATCGGGTATTTTCCGATAGGTTCGTTGCAAACAAACGAAGGAGTCAAGTTTTTCAGGTTAAAAAATCACGAGTGCGAAGCACGAGTGATTTTTCCTGAAAAACTTGACGACTTCGTTTGTATGCAGGGAACCTTGAGGAAAATGCCCGATTAATTTTGAAGCTCGTGTGGTATTCGGGGGATTATTTTTCCAATCCAAATGTCGGACAATATAATTGGACCATGAGAGGAAACTCACAATTGAGAAACGAAAATTGTATAATTAACACAACGACACAATTGAATTCAATCTGTCAGTTTAACGAGGGGTTAATGCGACTGCATGATGTTTTGTTTTTTATATAGCAACTACCAGAGAAAATTATCAAAAAATTATCAGTTGAAAACCCTGTAGCTTGTACCACGTGATGTCGAATGGGCCAATTATATTGCCCGATATTTGGTTTGGAAAAATAATCAATATAAAACTTTAATGTTATTTTTTCTCATACAAAGGTTTCCAAAAAATTAAAACTAAAGTGGGTCCAGAATATGGGTCTGGTAAATTTCATACCGAAGCAATATGATACATTATGCTCTTTGCATTTTCCAAAAGAATCTATTGATATATAATAGATTTGAGCAATCTCCAATCCTCATATTTGCTTTTCATTTTCAAACACATATTGTATGTCAATGAGATAAAGAATATCAAGAATTGCAATTGTAAAATATGAAGGACATTTCTCTATCCTGATGGTAAAATGACCTCGCCCCACTCTGCACCACCCGAGCCCCGCATGCGCACTAACGCCAAACTTAGTACCCTGTCCGGTAATTCGCGATCGCAACGTAGATGTGGGAGCCACCAAATGGTCTCTAAACTAACTACTCTTGAGCGGCAACTAATGAGACCCCTCGGAGGGAGCTGATGATGGAGCTCAACCAATGAGATCAGAGAGAACCCAGTAATCTCATTGGTTGCCCGCCAAGAGTAGTTAGTGGAAAGACTAGTTGATGGCTCCCACATCTACGTTGCGATCGCGAATAGGACCGCTGAGTGACCCTTCACTGTGCCTCAACCGCGCTTCAGAGTTCACATAGCGAAATCATTCCTCATAAACTCCATTCGTATTTGCCGCGTGTACCCCTCCACGACTTCTAACCTTGACATTGTCGCTATTTCAAGCTACGTACGCAGAATTCCCGTTTCTCATGAGTTTTTTAATTATCTTTTCTAAACAATTCTCCTAAGCCGTTTTGAAATAACCAAATAATGTATAAAAAAAATCATCCATTTCTTGACTTTTTTTCGACCTCCTCTGACCACGCCATAAATACCTTATATTAAGGGGTAACGGAAGCGGTCGCACGCTGAGTTTCAGGGGCCCCCCGTCGGTATAGTAGGTTTCCGCCAAATGCGGCCTGCCGGTGTTGCAGGTTCCCGGAGTGTATGGGTTGTACTTGAGACGTAAAAAATCCCATTAAAACATTATCAATAATTAGCCTTGTTTCCAAAGAACGTCAGAAAACCGAATAGAGGCGCTGACGGTCCACCCGGTGTAGAAATCAGGGCGCTCAGGTGGTAACCCACATAACCACATTTAAATGGATCAAACTATTCGATGTGTTGAGCTATATTCATTGAAAAATGCAAAAATTAACCGAAAATTAGGTTTCTGGTGCCAAATTACCCCATTCCAATATCAGTCAGAATGTTGTGAAAGATCTAAAACGATGGCTTGCTTATCGTAACCTCCCCACCACCGGGAATAAAGTTGATTTAGTTGGAAGGTTAGAGGCATCTCAAGGAAATTCTGTTTGTTTTCCTTGAATATTTTAAAAAATTGCTCACGATAATACATTGTATTCTTGGCATTTGAAAGACAAATAATAAATCTTCATTTTTCCCATTCAGAATAGAAGCATGTATTACAAGCGGACATGCAGAGGAGATTTTTGTAGGCATCCATAAGGGTAGTTAATTACAAGCAAAAAGGCAAAGAACTGAGCAAAATAATAATATCCTCCAGATCAACATTCCTCCCACACTGCCTCATGCAGGATGGTCCCCATTTCCATCATGCCCCATTCCACGTGGCTATTCTTATGATAAATTACGAGGGTACATCAAGAATGCGAATGAAAAAGTTGGTGGTCACCTCTATGATTCTGGTAATGATAATGCATTGTGATTGAATATTGTTGTAGAAATTAATTTCTGGAGATATAAAATCTATAATTCATCTTCCCACACATGAAGACATATATTTTTTCAAAAATAAATATCCTGAATGTCTCATAATTCTTATTATGAAGTAGGGAGAGCCTGAAAATGAGGGCAAATTTGTTGCTAATTACTGTTCGCTTTTTCATGGTGAAATTACTCTGCATCGAGATAATTTACCAATGTGCAGGTGATAATTATTTTATGAGGAATATTGATCCTCGTGTTATTTAGAATTCATTGCAGACGACGGTCCAGATGAGAATGAATCGAATTGTGGAAATTCAAAATGCATGCAACGAGGGAGAGTTTCATTTGCTTTCGGGCATGTAAAACGATTGCAAGATTGCTTGAAGAATAAATATTTATTTGTGAAAGCCGTCGTCGATCCCGCCTACAAGATTACAGGGTCATATAGAGTACATGTGACAATAAATGCAGATGGGAATGTAATCGATGCAAGCTGTCAATGCAAAGCCCGAGAGTCAAAAAATTGCTCCTACGTAATTGCTATATTATTTGCCCTCGAAGATTATACCTTACAATTTGATTTCGAGCCTCTGACGGGCACCTCGAAATTGAAGACTTGGAATCAAGGTAGGAAAAAGGGAAATCATCCACATGCAGTTCTTGAGGTAAGTTACCCTAAAGAAGGCCAGTCTAATGTAGCGAAGAATGACAGAGATCGCAAACGACTATTGCTTTTTACTCCAAAAACTACCATCGTTCTTCGAGACTCCAACACAAAACGGCAACATGCAGATTTCATCAGAAGGTTCCAATCCCTTCAGAAACTATCGATGTTCGACTACCTCATTTCAATAGATTACGATGACCACGATCTGGACCCGGAAAGGAGAGCTCTGTTGAAAGTACAATTGGATAAGGTTCTAGAGGACTTAGCAGTAAAAACGGATGAATCTTTCTGGATTGCAATTCCTCCTTCCTCTATCGAGCGATACAAAGAAACTCGGTTACGTATTATGGCATCAGAGGCAAAGACTTTTTTCACCGCCCAAGACATTGCTCCTCTGATTGCCCAAAAACTGTGGTTGTCATTTAAAGCTATGGACATTTCTGTCTTGAGGGAAGAACGTAAAGAATTGGCTATTGATGCGTACAAAGCAATTAGGAATGTTGACGTATTTCCCATTGGGAAACATGGCATAATTGTCAATCCATCATTTCCAGGATTATGCTGTGCGCCAGATGGTTTCATTCTAGGGGAAAATAATGAATGCATATATTTCATTAAAGTGAAGTGCCCATCACGATTCTCCGAAGACCGACATGATTCATTTGTTACCGATGTAGATGAAAACTCTATCTGCTTGATGAGAAATCATCGATATTCCTTCGAATTTATGACGACTATGGCAATCTTGAATGTGAAATTTTGCGATTTTATCCTTCGGTATGGGCAGGGTTCACTGAAAGTTGAAAGAATTTACAGGGACGAATGTTTGATAGACAGTTTGATCTCAAAGTTGACTCGAATTGGAAAGAATATCATTGTTGAATATTTCGAAATGCGTGATCCCAGAGATTTACAATTATTCATCCTTCATTGAATTTTCGATGTAGCAAAAACATGGAGAACGGCAAGACTCACTCTTGACACTTGCGACAACATCCAGAAAACTTGAATTCAAGCTGTCCAGGCTGGATTTCATCCTATCAACAACATCACTAGCAGAGATTTCAGAAAAAAATGGATCTACAACTCTCCATCTTGTCCATTCGTCACCCTCACCCAAGCCTCCTTTTCAGAAGTCAGTATTTTCTCAACGTCAGACCACTCCATATCTTCTTCCCATCGATCTCTCACCCCTCATCGGCTACTGTCACTTCTACCACCTGCATCCCAAGACTCACTCCCAGGTATCACTAGATTGCCGAGTGGGTTACTTTAACGATAACTCCACACACGTCCATACTGTATTTGCTGTGAGGATTTTTGAGCCTTCAGCCTCTACAATTCATCTCATCTGTCCACTTTCAGCCCCGCCTTGTGATAGGCTACATTGGTTACAGACTACATTGGCATTTGTGAATTACAA